GCTGAAATTACTTCGGAATTTTGAGGGTCCTCCTCAAAATTCTGCCCCAGTTTCCAATTGCGGGTAAAATGAAAATTTTATTGAATTGTGACCGAACCCATAAGGTTGCCTATGTATCCCCTCTTAAACGGGAATCAGGTCAGACGTAGTTCAATTACATCATATAGGAAAACATAGAGATTACACGTAGTAACGCTTGACTGCATCTGAATTGATCGGTTTCGGCCAAACTTCTCCATCCATTTCTGCAAGTATGAAGGCTCCTCCTGTTAGAACCCGGTGAACCATGTACGGACCTTGCCAGTTGGGAGAGAATTTCCCCTTGGCTTCATCTTGATGCGGGAAGATTTTCTTTAATACCAGCTGTCCCGGTGTGAACTGTCTTGGTTTGACTCTTTTGTTGAAGGCTCTGGACATTCTATTTTGATAAAGCTGACCATGACATACTGCGTTCATTCTTTTCCCATCTATAAGAGCTAGCTGTTCGTAACGACTCTTCACCCATTCTGCGTCGTCGAGCTCAGCTTCTTGTATGATCCTTAAGGAAGGAATTTCTACTTCGGCGGGAATGACTGCTTCTGTACCATAAACCAGCATATAGGGGGTTGCCCCAGTTGATGTGCGGACTGTGGTGCGATACCACAATAAAGCAAATGATAGCTTCTCGTGCCATTGCTTATGCTTCTCTATCATTTTCCTCAGTATCTTCTTGATATTCTTATTNAAGAAAAATCCATGTTCTGCCTAGACAGTAACAAAACTAGGCTTCTCTCTAGAGACTCGAGTGAACAGTAGCGCCGCAGACTTTGCGGAGGGCACTACGCCGCCATCCGGCGGTGGAATCTCACAAATTTGGTCTCAAAAGAAGCTCCTAGTCTTTGCGCACAATCCCCAATTGGTTTCATCCCCAAATCCATATCCATCTGTAACAGATCTTGAAAATAGTTCGGCGATCACTGTAGCGCCCAAATCTGTTTTCAGGGAACATCGTTGCTGCTGCTTTCTTCTGTTTCTTGTATAGCAATGGTGTGTTGAAACCTTCCATGGATGCATCATCCTCTCCCCAGCCTTTGGTTGTGGGAGAGTCCTTAACTAAACCTACATATGCTGCACAAATCTCATCCAAAACAGCTACAAAAGCAACGATAAAACCTGTCCAAATCATACACTGGAGAGCCCACTGTTGTTTTCACCTACTGTAAGAACCGCCAACTAACTTTGCCA